GTTGCTCCACTTAGCTCATTAATTAGTTTTTGGCACTGGATTGCATCACAATATTTAACCATCAATTAATGCCCAATAAAACAATGCCTACCACTTTTAGAATGTTCTAAGCATGACAAAACAATTTGGCTGTAACCACCATTAGAAACAGCACATAAAGTGGGTTTGTATTATTGGGGGGGGGGACCTGGCTGATCCAGAGAGAGAGGCTTGGCTCAAGCCACCTAGTGAGAGGCAAGATTTGAAACAGGAGCTTCATGATTCTTAGGTCCAAACTACACATGATGTGTGAGATTTGTAATTAGTTCTTCCATGTTTTCTTTTACATCAAAAAGGAACGGCAGGGGATTCAACACTTGGATCAAGGCCACAGGGTGGCTAACCATTTCTACAATACTCATCTTCGGGAGTTGTCACTAGATGGGGGTGGGAGAGAAAGGTACTATACCAACAGTACTGGCCTTTCCTCCTTCTGCAGCTAATCAAAACCACCCCTCACAGGAGTGACAACAGTGGGGGTGTTGTGTATAATAAAGTTAAACACACACACTGCGGCTCCAGTCCAAGCTCCATCCCTCTTTTCTGCTCACATGCCCAAGTCCCCATGAACCTGGGGGGCAGAAACTCTCTAGACTTGCAATGCATCTTCTTCCCTGAACCTCATGCCTTCTTTTTTCTATCCCCATGTTACTAAATATTTTGTCCACGCTGTTACACCACAAGGCAACTTTAGGCAGCATAAACTGCCCCCCATGTCTTTATTGTGTGGGGTTTTGGTAAATACTGAACTGTACTGCCAAGAGTCCCTCTGGTACTTTAAGGTCTCAAGAAGCACGCAGGCCTCCATAATTATAATCTTCTCTCCCAGATCGAACTCGGAGGGGACTGATTCCGCATCTGTAAAGCAGAAGCTGGATGTGCATTGCTTGAACTGGCTGGAGCTGGGAAGGTTATAAAAAACCATCTCAACCCATCACCAAGCAGCTCCTCCAACTATTTTAAAGTGAATGGCTTAAAAAGAGAGAGAGAGAGAAATGCAGTTTAACAAATATGCATGTGGTGCCTCCAAAATAAGAAGAAGGGCATTCCTCTTGCAATATTGGGAGTGAGAGATGAAAGGTGAGTTAGGCAATCCGCTGAATCAACAGTTGAATCAGTATGTCTGCCATTTACTTTCCAAATTCAGGAAGAAGCCAAACCCACCAGGTTAGAGGAGGAGGAGGAGGAGATTGGATTTATACCCCGCCCTTCACTACCCAAAGGTGTCTCAGAGCGGTTTACAAACTCCTTTCCCTTTCCCTTCCCCTCCCCACAACAGACACCCTGTGAGGTAGGTGGGGCTGAGAGAACTCTTCACAGAAAGTGCTCTTTTTCAAGAACAGCTGTTATCAGAGCTATGGCTTGCCCAAGGTCATCCAGCCAGGTGCAAGTGGAGGAGTGGGGAATCAACCCCGGTTCTCCCAGATTAGAGTCTGCGCACTTAACCACTACACCAAACTGGCTCTCTGCAACTCCTAGTGTGTTTGACTGGCACATCTGTACAGCCACAAACAACTGTGTCATGAGGTTTTCTGGCCCACTCGGTCAGGTGTAGGAAGGGCCCCCTGAAAACTAATACACACCACATTTGAGTCTTCTAAAACACCAAGGGGGAGGAGGGGGCTGTTTTTATTACAGCTCCAACTCTGGAGTTTGAATTTACAGCATTCTTTCTCCCACAGATTCCCAGCCGAACGTTCACTTAATCCCTCCCATTCTTTTTATTCTCCTATGCAAAGAAGGAGTCAGACAGTCTCGCTATTAGGTTAATAACTGCCCCACCCCCCCTGGATGGATAAACTGAGGCGGGCCCCCGGAAGAAAGGCAGAAAAGGGTTGGGCCAGAGTTGCACGGAGCAAGAACTCCCAAAGAAAGAGAAGGGGCAAGCCATAAACTTTAAACCAGACCAAATTAAGACAAAAGCCAAGTAACAACTTTAAAGATTTTAACAAAATTTATTCCAGCATAAGTTTTTGCAAATCAACGCCCACTTCCTTCAACACATGGAGTATCCATTAAAAAAAAAGAAGCTAAATTTATACCAAAACCTTAAAAAAAACACCAAAGGGGAGGAGTTAGAAAAGCCTTTTCTGTAGCTTGAACTCTCGAGCATAAATGTAGCTGCTTTGGACGGGCTGCATATATACTCCATATATCAAGCTGAATTCAGCCATGACAAAAATTACGCCGGAATAAGCGGTTCTGGTCTCGCAAGTGGCACTGGCCTTCTGCCTTGTTTCGCGGTTGCAAACTCACAGCCCCCCGCCTCCCGGAATTCTGAGCCACGCAGTTTCCCACCGCGAGTCCACGTCGTCTGCCGCGCCGCGCATTTCTGGTCACGAAGCCATCCTGCTTAGAAGTTGGAGATTCCCGTCCAACTCTCTCCCCCCCCCCCGGTCTCTTAACCAGGCTCCCCATCGCCTTCCCCAGAGGCCGCCTCGCACAGCAAGCTCTGCATCCAAGGACGTACTACAACCCCATCCCTCCAAAGGGACGCGCGCCCCCCCCCCTTTAAAGCAAGAACTTTTCTCTCCTCTCCCCGCTCCCTCACCTTTTGCTCCACGCCCGCCAAGGTGCGGGCCAGCTCCTCTCGCTGCCTCACGAAGCCTTCTTGCCTTTGGCTGATGTGGCTCACTTCTTCCCACAGGCGGTGGGCGCCCCAGCCGGAGAGGCCGGCCACTGCCAAGAGAACAAGGTAGAAGAGACCGCTGAAGAGCTTCCCCAGGCTCAGGGCGGAGGAAGCTTTCCCTGCGCCAGGCGCCGGGGAGCTCCCCTTGGCGCCCTTGGAATGAGCCTGGCTCTGCTGCGGGTGCTTCTTCGCCACGTCATCGGGGAGGCTGGAATGGGCTCCTTTTTCGGACGGAGAGGAACCACTGCCGCCGCCGCCGCCGCCGCCGCCGCCGCCTTTATTACTCCTTTGTTTAGCTGAAGACATGCTTGGCTTGCAGGGGAGCTTTCTCCAAAAGCGGCCACAACCAGCTGATGGGGCTCGGATGCTTCACCAGAAGAACAGCGCCAGAGGAGGCCTCGGAAAGTCAAAAAGGTGGTAGTGGTGGGAACCAAAGCTTCGTTGCGCCTCTCCATTCAATTTAGGCATCGAGATTGCAGGGAGGGGGGGAGATTCAGGCGGGCTTCTTCATCCCCGCCCTGCCGTGCACCCAGCACCGCCTCCCCAGTTCCTTAGCATTCGAGCGGACTGCCACGCAGGCTGAGCGGAAAGCACGAGCCCCAGGCAGGCGCGAGGGCACGAAAGGATTTCTCCGTTTCCTGGAGAACAACAGTTTTGCAGATCTCTTCTGCGAGCGGGATGTTGTGTATCCCTGCGCTCCTGCCAGTCTATGCAACGGCACGGCCAAACCGAAATCTGTTTTTACAAATAATTATAAAGGCCTGAAACCTACTGGAGCTCTTTTCTGCAACTTTTACAATGGGTTAGGTTTTTACAAGCTCGCTCATTTCCAAATCCTACTCAGTTTAAAGAAACCTACAGGTAAAGGTGCAGGGATTGCAGACGATCCGATACATGGTTACTTGGAAGTAAGTCCCACTTTATTCAATGGAGTTTACCTCCAAGTACTGGCGCACAGAACTCGAGATAACTGCAGCCCGATGCCATGCATGTTCACTCGGAAGAGCCCCAGAGTGTTCAATGGCCGTTTTCTCCTTGATCAGGGCGCAGGATCCAAGAGCAACCTCCATTATTCTTGTTTTACATGAAGGTGTAAAATACTAGGTTATCACAACCATTCCACTTAACTGGAAGACCTTTTGTTTTGCAAGAGTGCTGCTGAAGCCCAGAAAATTAAGAAAATTAAAAGAAAACGTGTAGAGTTTATTTTATGTTTAATCTCCTACATTTCTGCTAGCCATGCAGCTGTTAAAAGCTCAGGACACAGAAGCCCAAATAAGAAACAATTTTAGCCAGTACGGTGTATTGGATTGGGTTCAAATCCTTTGTGCACTCACTAGGTAACCTTGGGCAAGTCATTGTTTCTCGGTCTACCCTACCTCACAGGGTTGTTGTGTGAGTAAAATACTGTAAGCCTATTTACATTCCCTTTGCAAGGGCAGACAACTGCCTGAGGACTCATGGAACTAGGCAAGTCATGTCAGTTGTGCCTGCAGTTCCTCAGAATAAGGTGAGATAAAACTGAGTTAACCAGGAATAATCATTTTGTGATAATTGGTTGATAATGAGGTGGAATTAACTAATTATATTGCCTCAGTTCCCAAACTGTCTCATAAGGCTGGTGCAAACATGGATAATGACAGCCATGTGAGACAGGGTGCTAAAGAAATCTGAGAGAAGTTCCCAATAGGTAGAAATTTCACAGTTGCAGTATCTCCCATTACTGTCTTTAACCATCTTGCCAAGACAGCTGCCGGTGTTAAATTTCTAACCCAAAAATACAGGAGTACTATACCTGTTCCAGCATCCTGTTTGAGATGATTCTTATTTTTTATGCCCACTTTTATAACAACTTTTATAAACACCCTATTGTTGATTAGTGCCAATGAAATCTAATATGCTGTACACAGTAATGATGCTGTACTACTGTTTCATAAGGATAGCAACCTGAATATTTACCTTTACTCTTTAAATCTTCTACATAGTGGGGAGATACAGTTGAAACATCACCCTACCAACGAAAGTCCATATGGTCAAAACAATGGTATTCCCAGTAGTAATGTATAGCTGCGAGAGGTGGACCATGAGGAAGGCCGAGCGCCAAGAACAGATTCTTTTGAATTATGGTGCTGGAGAAGACTCTTGAGAGTTCCTTGGGCTGCAAGGAGATCAAATCAGTCAATCCTTAAAGAAATCAACCCTGACTGTTCCCTAGAAAGAAGGCCGGATACTGAAGCTGAAGCTCAAATACTTTGGCCACCAAATGAGAAGAGCACTCACTGGAGAAGACCCTGATGCTGGGAAAGATTGAAAGTCAAAGAAGAAGGGGATGGCAAAGGATGAGATGGTTAGACAGTGTCATCAATGCAACGAACATGAAATTAAGCAAACTCCAGAGGACGGCGGAAGACAGGAGGGCCTGGCATGATGGGGTCCATGGGGTCGCGAAGAGTCGAATTCAACTGGCCGACTGAACATCATCAACAACAGTCTCCAACCTGTTTCTCCCCATTCTTCTTGTCTGCTCCTATCCTCCTCCTGCTGTTCAGAGCACCTGTATCTGTTTATCTTGCACTAGGTTTATGTTAATCCTCCTTTGCTTTTCTCACAACAGTTGGGGGAAGCTCTTACCCACCCTGAATGAACTGATTACCTTTCTGATTGGATCATGTTGCAAACAAACCTCTCCTTGTACCACTTTTCCTCCCCTCTTTCTGTTCTGAAGGGGTGGGCACTTAAATGTGTCTAATGAAGTTAGCCCTGCTTTTCATTAGACTGCTATTTCATTGTGCTGACATTCTTTCTATTACACAGTATCAGAAGGTACAGGGAATATACAGTGAAAAAGCTGGCAACCCTATATTTTACAGATATATACAATTTTTTCCTGCAATTTCCTTGTTTGTTATTTGTTTGTTTGTTTTCCTTGTTTATTTCCTGTTTTGGTTATTTATAGTTTGCCTTTTTTGCTGAAACTCAAGACAGATTACATAGTGTAAATCAAGTACAATCAACAGGATGGGACATTCAACGAGCAATACAATAGGGTTTGGACTACAGAAATCTGAAAACAAACAGAAATCTCAAATAGAGCTGAAACCAAGCATGAGATTTTAAACATGATACGCTAAGTGGTGTAGAAACTACCTAGTTTGGAGTATACTCACAGTGTTGGATTATTAATACGGTGGTGTAGGTCACAGTCCCAATCCCTTTACCAAAGCCACTTTCTGACCATTTCATTACAGTACAGTTCTGTTTACCTGTGCAAAAAGCCCTCTTGAATAATTCTGTTTTGGATAGCTTGTGGGAAACCAGGCGCTCTCCAAACTTCATTAGGGAGGCCATTCCAGTCCAGTTTTAGTTTATTGTCTTAGCCATTTGCCATAACAACACAAAATAAAGCAAAATACAACAAACATTATACATCAAAGTGGGATAAACCCTTCAATAACTTTCAGTAAGTCCTAGACTCAATCTTATCTTTTTTGCCGCCAGTGCAAATAAGGCCATTCTGCTGGTAACATGTGCATCAATATCAGATAGCAAGAAGACAGTCAAATCCTGGTCTGAAATTCTATTATGCAATGGTACAATAGGATAAATAAACCTTTGCCTAAGTGATTTGTGCCATGAACATCTCAGGATGTAATGCTCGACATCATCCACTTCGCCCACACCACATTGGCATATTCTAGAGGCAGCAGGGGCACCCAGAAAGTGGCCAAAACAAACCATTGAAGGTATGGCGTGGAAACGTAGTGTACTGAAAGCCCTTCTTAGCTCCAGAGTGGTTAGTTTCTCAAGATATGCAGTCCTACAATGATCTGTCTTAAAGATCTGATACAAGGGGGCTGTACGGCAACTTACCACCCCATGGCGGTTCAAAAGCCCATCCTTGTTAAATACCCATTCCTTCAATTTAGACTTTTGACTTCCACTGACCAATAAGTCATCGGGGGTTGAGAATTTCAATAAAATAGAGTTCAAATGATCACCTAATCTTTTTGAGGATTTCAGGGAGGCCATTCCATCAGGTGGTGACCATGACAGTCTATAGCAGAGGTGTCAAACTCATTTGTTATGAGGGCTGGATGTGACATAAATGTCACTTTGTTGGGCTGGGCCATGTGTGCCATAAAACAATGCCAGGTACTGGAGATATAAACTGTGTAAGCTCTAAGTTGTTGTATCCTCACTGCAAGGCCATGCTTGTTCCATCATGCTGAAGCCACAATTGGAGTGGCTCCACCCACAAGCGGTCTCCTGTTCCCTCCCTTGCACTAATTGCTCATGGGCCGCATAAGAGTCCTGGATGGGCTGGTTCCAGCCCCTGGGCCTTATGTTTGACACCCCTGGTCTATAGAACAGATGTATAGATCAGAAGATGACACCTATTCGAACAGGTTCTTTTTCAGTATTTGGAAGACAATAATGCTGGGAAAAGGTGAAGGCAGCAGGAAAAGAGGAAGACCCAAAATGAGATGGATTGACTCAATCAAGGAAGCCACGGTTCTTGATCTGCAGGACCTGAGAGTGGCTGTTAACTATAGGACATTTTGGTGGACATTACTTCATAGAGTCACCATAAATCGGAAGCAGCTTGATGGCACTTTTAAGATGCCACCTTACTACTTTCAAGCACAAACCTAGTTTTCAAAATACCAGATGAGCACAAACCCTATGGAAAGACACACTGCATCTTAAGCACACTTCCTTAAGAGTAAATGCCACTAAACACAATGGGAATGGCTTCCAAGTAAATAAGCACAGGATTGAACTGTATGGTTGCAACTCTGTGCACATTTACTAGAAAAAAATGTCTCACTGAACTTCAGGTTCTGTGGCAGAGCATCTGCTTGGCATGCAGAAGGTCTCAGGTTCTGCTGCTGAATGCCAACCAAAAAGAGATAAGACAGGCAGTATGTATCAGGTGTTGCAATAACTGAAATGAAGAAAGAGGAAGAAAGTATACCAGTGTAATGCTAAAGAGACTTGGGAATGCTAATAACATTGTTTGGCATGCTGTCTTCCTGGTAAGTGGAATTCTATGCTTATGACTCAGGCTTGCTTGTAACAAGCCAAAGGCTAAGCAGAGCTTCAAACAGGAGTTGGTTACATAACACAGTCCCTTTGGGCATTCTAGATTTAGACTTCTTTGCATTGTACAGTTGGAAGCACTGTATACTAAGGGGTGTATATATTTCTTTGCTGTAACAAACTACCTAGTTTAACATTGAATATCTCACACTTGTGTATCTTAACAAATATCATGTCTCATTGCTATACATTCCAATCACACTGTGAAAATGGCCTCAGGAGAAGGCCATTTTGTACAGTTATTTGGGGGAGGGGAGCTTATTTTTGAAGGGCAGGAAATGTGAGGTCTGACTCATGAAAGCTCATGCTGGAATCCATGTTGTTAGCCTTTAAGGTGCCACTGGACTTCTGCTTTATCTTCTTACAATAAAGGGAAAAAATAGTGGTTGTCAGGAGAACATCACCGTTTACCATTTCGATATAGAACTTTCTTCTTTCCC